GATAACACTATCTATAAGAGATTGAAGAAGAAGATAGTGAAGAGTCTTATACAGTAGCAGTGAGATCAGAAGAAGTTCTGAGAATAATTTAAGACTAAGATAAAGAGAGAGAGAGAGAAGAAGAGTATTACTATAAATAAGTAGTAATAGAAGAAGATTGAGAAGATGTTAAAATAAGAGATAAAGAAGTTAAAACTGATAAGTTTTTTATTTATTAAGAGATAATGATTTTTAATAATACTTCTGTTCTCTAATTGATTAGCAGAAGCTGATAGAGAAGAAGAAGATTGAGATCTTATTCAGGTCTTGAATACACATTATAATTCAGAATATTGAGAAGACAGTTCTACTCTCTGAGCATGTCAATCTGCTTACTACTGAGGTGAAATCTGAGACAGTAGATCAGAAAATGCAGGATTTTGAGATACAGATTAATCTGACTAAGAGAGAGCAGTGAGAACCCTTCTCTGAGAAGACAGTGAAGAGAGATTTTGAGATGATTATCATCTCAGATAAGAAGAAGAAGAAGAAGAAGAAGAATAAGAAGTGAATTATAAAGAATAATAAGAAGAATAAGAAAGAGTAGAAAGATAATAAGTAGAAAAAGTTTTTTTCTTTTTATATTAGTTAGCTATAAGTTCATAATTATTAATAATTACAATTAATTTTGAGTTTTTAAAAATTATTGTACAAGTTATAATCAAGTCAGAAATAATAAATATATATATATATATCTAACTATCATGATTTATAAATCACTATAATATATAAGTATCAACATTTTTTCAACATTGATATTTATAATATTAATATATTTTTAATGATATCATCTAATAATATAATTTGATAATACTCTCTTTCACAATATTAATATATTTCAAGAAATATGACAGAGATTAATCAAGATTATTTATTTACTTTTATACATTGATGATATTCAATCTGAGTTAGTACTAAAATTATAACTAAGCTAAGAAACAAGATTATTTTCTCTTATATTAATTCTTCTTACACACATCAGTGATCAGTTATTGAAAATAAATTATTATCTTTATTATTATTATTATTATTATTCTTCAATTAGAGATGTATGCAGTCAGAGACTATGACATCTACCTGAGAACTTTTAGTTCTCAGGGTTTTTCCTATATCTGTAAAGTTAACTATTATACATTCATCAATTTCAGATATGCAAAATCAGAAAATTCCAGCTCAGAATACAAAAACTGTTTACAAATTGCAGTGTTTTAACATCTTCTGATACTTTGAAATCATTGGACAATATCATGACAAAGGAAAAGAGAAAGAGAACACAGTCTTAAAGATAGACACATTAAATAGATAGATAGAAGGAAATTGAAAGGAAAAGATAAAGTAAAGAGAGACTGTAACAAAACAAATTATTAAAAGATAGTGTATAGCTGTTTTAACAGACTATATCTGGTTGATTTCCTTCTCTTCATATTCAGATAATTCTGAATTTAGTCATTTTCTTATAGCTGCTTGAGAAATTATTATCTTTCTTAAATTATTATCATATCTTCTGAATATACTTCTTTTACTTCTTTTACTTCTATTGAAGATTTATAAACTCTTTAAGAAATCACTGTGAATTACAAAGTCTATATTATTTACAATTTAATACAGAATACTCTCTTTCAATTATAATAAATAATCACTTTATTCTTCACATCTGATTTCAGGTCATAAAATTTATGAAAAACTCAACACAAATACTGAGATGAACTATAAAATAATTATCAACAGATTGTATTATAGATTACTAAAGAGTTATCTCTCTACTACAATTACTGTAACTCTATTCAGAAACATTCATTATAAACTGATTATAACTCTGAAGAAATTTTCTGATATCTGAAGTTATCAGAATGCAGATAATAAAAGAAAAATAATTAGAAAATTACTACTGAGCTGATAAGTTACTCTATCAGATAATAATTTTTAATAATACTAACTTTCTAATTTAAAGAAAATTATGTGAAAATAATCATATATCAGTACTCTGATTTTATAACTCTTATCTGATAACTTCTGTGAATAATTACTTTATATATGTATATCTCTGAATCTTTCTCTTCAATCAATTAAAAACTCTGAATTCTGCACACTTCTTTAAATACTTAATTTAAATCTTCATATTTCATATTGATTCTGTCTTCAGTTTAATCTCAAGATATACTACAAAGTTAATATACAATATCTAGAATCAGAGTTGAAGAATTATCAAAGAGTGCCTCTCACAGTGAATATATAAACTAGTATAAACAATCTTGTATTTATGAGAGTTATATGTTATTATATTCATGAGAACTGAACTTATTAAGAGATATTAATTGAATTTAAATCATTGATTAGTAGTTATACTGAGAATTATGTAACAGAGACATTAATAACTGTGATTAAAAATGACTATTGAGATATTAGTCTCAGTCTTCTTATAATTATAACTGATAATACTGTGAATAACTATACTATGATAAAGAGCTTGAAGAAAAAATTGATTTTGCATTTCTGAAATAATAAATAAGGTCATATTCTCTGTATTACTTATGTGATTCAACTTGTGATGTAAATACTGATAAAGAATCTTAATATTAAGATAAAGAATAATAAGATAACTAGACTGACTGTATGACTGTGTCTGAGACCAGAATTAAACTTTACAGTTGTCATGTTGTCTAAAAGTATTACTTCTGATCATGATTTATATTCATCACATTGATTTCAAATCTCATTATTTCAAATATTAAAGGTCTCAGATTCACTTTTCAAATAAAAATCTAGTCTCAGATAAAGAATATATTTGAATTCTTAGTCACATTTTCATTCTGATTTCATTATTGAAAATAGTATTAAATGAGATCATGAAATCATTTCTCACTTACATAATATCATAATATAGTGCTTATTTGTTGAAAATTCAATAGAGAGTATTATTAAATATTATTACTTTTCTGAACACAGATCATAATCAATATCATTTTAATTAAAAAAAAAATATAAAATATAAAAAATAATAAAAAAACAAAAAACAAAACAACAAGAAAAAATCACAATAAAAAAAAAAAAAGAGAAAGAAAAAAAGAAGAGAAAGAAAAAAAGAGACAGAAAGAGAAAGAAAAATAAAAAAAAAAAGAAAAGAAAAAGAAAAAAATAAAAAATAAAAATAAAAAAAAATCAAGATCACAGAGCTGCAGCACTCTTAAAATACTCATTTTTCAGAGTCTTTATAATATTTATCATTAATTATATATTTCTCACAGTGAGAGTAACATAGCTATGATGAGTTATTATCTTAACATCATCTAATAAATAATCAGTATATATCTATATAAATGTGAATAATTAGAAAATATACACTTAAAAAGTATGATCAGAGTGAACTCTGCTATCACTTGAATAACATCAAGAACAGAATGCTGAAATCAATGATTTCTCTCATCAATTTCACAGACAAGGTGCATGAAGATGACCTTGAGAAATATAAAATTCCCTGACTTCTGGTAGAAACAGATCTCACAGAGAGACTCTATTTTTATCATATCAGAGACTGAGTATTATTAAAAAGTATTACTTTAATGTATATATACTTACTGCAGTGATTCACTCTCTGTACATATGATCAAGAGTTGCAGCTTTCTCATGCTGCACAGCTCTTTCTGAAATGCTGCTGTCAGTTTGTAACTCACACAGTCTTTCAGTTCAGCATGCACTGTGTATATACAGTTCTGTGTGCTGAGACTGTGTTGATCATTATGACCTGACATGGTACTTGCTTTTCACAGGCCATGTTTTGTTTGATTAAGGGAGGGAGAGAATGCAACTGCTGTTTTATTTGAAGAGAAGTGAGTAATTAAATCTGTAGAAGATAATTTGATTTCTTCTGCATTTGAAATTTGATTAGTCTATACTCTTTAATTTGAGGATTTCTGAGAGTGTTTTAATAGTTTTCATATCAGCTTGAAATTAGTGATTGATTAAAGAAGAGAAAAGAGAGAAGAAAGAAATGAGAATAACTTATCTTTATAATATGAAAACAGAGAATTACTGCAATTATTTATTCTAGTAACAAAGATCTGTTTTCTACATGTATCTCTGATACAGATTATATAATAACTGTATACAAAGAATATTAACAGTGCATGTATTGAATGAAGATAATATTACTATACAACACTGTAGCTGTTTCTGAACATCACTGAAAGCTGTTAATATTTTCTTTAAGTCTCTTTATATTTAATAAGTTAGTAATATATTTCAATGCACTCTCTCTTTCATTATCATTATCATCATCATCATCATCATCATTATTACTATCATTATTATTATTATTATTATCATTATCATTATCATCATCATTATCATTATCACTATTATTATATTATTTCTAGTCATCTCTTCTGCCTTCACTCTTCTTCAACACTCACTGAAACTAATTATGTCATCTTTCTTCAAATATTCTGTGGTTCTGTGAATCACCAAGGCGCGTGAGCATCATCACAGATTGAAGAGAGAGAAGAAGAAGATATTCAAGCAAGAAGAGACAGATTATAAGACATGTTATGATGTCTTGAAGAGGCTCTGTAAAAAAGTAGAATGATAATGATTTTAAGTAATACTTCTGATAGATTTAGACTGAACTAAGTATAGAAATAATACAGATGACACTGCTCATGAGAGATTGAAGAAGAAGACAGTGAAGAGTCTCATACAGCAGTGATGAGATCAGAAGAAGTCTCAAGAATAATTTGAGATCAAGATAAAGAGAGAGAGAGAGAAGAAGAGTGTTACTGTAAATAAGTAATAGCAGAAGAAGATTGAGAGAATGTTGAAGTGAGAGATAAAGAAGTCAAAACTGATAAGTTTTTTATTTATTAAGAGATAATGATTTTTGATAATACTTCTGTTCTCTAATTAATTAGCAGAAGCTAGCAGAGAAGAAGGGAATTAAGATCTTATTCAGGTCTCAAATACACTTCATGATTCAGAATATTGAGAAGACAGCTCTGCTCTCTGAGCATGTCAATCTGCTTACTGCTGAAGTGAAACCTGAGACAGCAGATCAGAAAATGCAGGATTTTAAGACACAGATTGACCTGGCTGAGAGAGAGCAGCAGAAACTCTTCTCTGAGAAGACAGTAGAGAGAGATTTTAAGATGATTATCATCTCAGATGAGAAGAAGAAGAAGAAGAAGAAGAATGAGAAGTGAATTATGAAGAATGATAAGAAGAATGAGAAAGAGAAGAAAGATGATGAGTAGAAAAAGTTTTTTTCTTTTTATATTAGTTAGTTATAAGTTCATAATTATTAATAAATGAAATTAATTTTGAGTTTTTAAAAATTATTATACAAGTTGTAATCAAGTCAGAAACAATATATATATATATATATATATTTAACTATCATGATTCACAAATCACTATAATGTATAAGTATCAACATTTTTTCAACATTGATATTCACAATATTAATATATTTTTAATGATATTATCTGATAATGCAATTTAGTAACACTCTCTTTCACAATATTAATATATTTTAAGAAATATGACAGAGATTAATCAAGATTGTTTATTTACTTTTATATATTGATAATATTCAATCTGAGTTAGTACTAAAATTATAACTAAGCTAAGAAACAAGATTATTTTCTCTTATATTAATTCTTCTTACACACATCAGTGATCAGTTATTGAAAATAAATTATCATTTTTCTCAAATTATTATCATATCTTCTGAATTCACTTCTTTTACTTCTTTTACTTCTATTGAAGATTCATAAACTCTTCAAGAAATCACTGTGAATCACAAAGTCTATGTTGTTTACAATTCAACACAGAATACTCTCTTTCAATCATGATAAATAATCACTTCATTCTTCACATCTGATTCTAGGTCATGAAATTTATGAAAAACTCAATATAAATATCAAGATGAACTATGAAATAATTATCAACAGATTATATTACAGATTACTGAAGAGTCATCTCTCTACTACAATCACTGCAACTTCATTCAGAAACATTCATCATAAACTGATTATAACTTTGAAGAAATTTTCTGACATCTGAAGTTATCAGAATGCAGATAATAAAAGAAAAATAATTAGAAAATTACTACTAAGCTGATAAGTTACTCTATCAGATAACAATTTTTGATAATACTAACTTTCTAATTTGAAGAAAATCATGTGAAAACAATCTTATATCAGTACTCTGATTTCATAACTCTCATCTGATAACTTCTGTGAATAATTACTTTGTATATGTATATCTCTGAATCTTTCTCTTCAATTAATTAAAAACTCTGAATTCTGAACACTTCTTCAAATGCTTAATTCAAATCTTCATATTTCATATCAATTCTGTCTTCAGTTCAATCTTGAGACATACTACAAAGTTAATATGCAACATCTAGAATCAGAGTTGAAGAATTATCAAAGAGTATCTCTCACAGTGAATGCATGAACTAGTACAAACAATCTTATATTTAGAAGAGTTATATGTTATTACATTGATGAGAACTGAACTTATCAAGAGACATTAATTGAATTTGAATCATTGATCAGTAGTCATACTGAGAATTATATAACAGAGATATTAATAACTGTGATTAAAAATAACTATTAAAATATTAGTCTCAGTCTTCTTATAATTACAACTGACAATGCTGTGAATAACTACACTATGATGAAGAGCTTAGAGCAAAAATTGACTTTGCATTTCTGAAATAATAAACAAGGTCATATTTTCTGTATTACTCATGTGGTTTAACTTGTGATGCAAACACTGATAAAGAATCTTAACATTGAGATGAAGAATAATGAGATGACTGATTCTTGAAATGAGAATGAGATAAAAGTGATTACTCAAGTAACTTTTACATTCACTTTACAAAAGATAATGTTTTTTGATAATACTTTTTGATATTACTTTTTGATAATGCTTTTTGATAATGCTACTGTTAATTTTGAATAGATTGACTAATAATTTAAATATCATAGATTTGAAACATTGCTAATGTGATTTGTATCTCTTCTAAATAACAATAATGATTTCATGATATTTAATAAACAAACAAATCAGGCACATCACTGAATATGATACAGAATATTAGAACACAGTGAAGTTTAACATATAAGAGGACTGTTCAGACTCTTTAATTATGTCAGACAATTGATCATTGAGTGCAACACTCTGATTGAGAAAAGATTCAGATATTGAAACTTTCTGATATGAAGTGAACTCAGTTGAAATATGTGATTGATTTACTATTTCAGTTTTATAAGATGATAAAGACAGTCTCAATCACTTGTACATCAATGCTGCAGTCAGCCTGATAAGTGTATAACAGTTTATTTACTCATCTTGAAAAGTAGTTGAATCACTCAAAAAGAAATTCAGTCTGGAATAATGCTATAGCACAGGCTATTGTTGCTGTAAGAGATAAACTGGTATATTACTACAGTAAAATGAAACAATCTTTTACAGAGTACTATACTGTAGCAGCTCTACTAGATCTCTCTTATCAAGTTAATATCTACACTTCTCAAGATTGAACAGAGGAGAAATGAGACTCATATGTTAAATTAGTCTGAGACTACTATAATATCAACTATCAGAGATTTGAATAAGCAGATGTTTGAGATGTGAAGACAGTAAAATACAATTCTCTAGTAAATAACAATCTTTGATAATGCTTTATATCACATAGAACTATAATACTAACTTTGAAATAGAACTTACATATATTGATTACAACTGCAAATCAGATAAAACTACATACTTGTAAAACTGAATTTAACTGCTATCTTCAAGATAATCTGATAAATTTACACATCAAATCAATTCTAGAGTTATGAAAAATTGTTGAGAGTATATATTCAACTGTTGTACTGATAATGTATGATATTCTGACAATTTCATTGACAGAGATGAGAATGAAGTGAAAGTTCAACTCAAGTCAAGATATTTGTCACTATCATCAGAGACAATTATAAGAAGAAACAATCAAGAAACTCATCATTGTAAAACATGAAATTATCAGACAGTTTAATATCTCTGATCACAGTATATCAGAGAAGTGTAGTTTTCATGAGAAAGTGAAGAATAAACTTGTACAAGAATGTATTTAGTTGTTTCATGAGTATTATCAATAATCATTATCAAATTCTGATTATATAAGCAATCACTGAATGAACTGAATGAGACTGATTTTGATCTTCAGTCTCAGTCTCATTCTGATTTTGAAAGAATGATTATCTTTCACAGTTTATTCTGGAAAATTACTCTCATTTCACTGTTCTTGAATTAAATCTGGTTATTTTTCACATCATTTCTCTCAGAAATGGTCCATTTTCAGATTTTTTTGAGGCTTGGTTCTGGTGAGACTCACATCAAGAAATGTATAAGATCAGATTAAATGAGATTAAATGTGAAATTCATGATCTCAGCGGCCAGTCTAAAGATAACTGATTCTTGAGATAAGAATGAGATGAAAGTAATTACTCAAGTAACTTTTGTATTCACTTTACAAAAGATAATATTTTTTATCAATACTTTTTAATATTGTTTTTTAATAATACTTTTTAATAATACTACTGTTAATTTTAAATAGATTGACTAATAATTTAAATATCACAGATTTGAAACATTACTAATATAATTTATATCTTCTCTAAATAATAATAATTATTTCATAATATTCAATAAATAAATAAATCAGTCATATCACTGAATATAATATAGAATATTAAAATACAGTAAAGTTCAATATATGAAATAACTGTTCAGACTCTTCAATTATATCAGATGATTAATTATTAAGTGCAACACTCTGATCAGAAAAAGATTCAGATATTGAAACTTTCTAATATAAAGTGAACTCAGTTAAAATATGTGATTGATTTACTGTTTCAGTTTTATAAGATAATAAAGACAGTCTTAATCACTTATATATTAATACTGTAATCAGTCTGATAAGTGTATACCAGTTTATTTACTCATCTTAAGAAGTAGTTAAATCACTTAAAAAGAAATTCAGTCTGAAATAATGTTATAGCATAGACTATTATTACTGTAAGAAATAAACTGATATATTACTATAGTAAAACTGAACAATCTTTTACAGAGTACTATACTATAACAGCTCTACTAGATCTCTTCTATTAAGTTAATATCTACACTTCTCAAGATTGAATAGAGAAGAAATGAGACTTATATATCAAATTAGTCTGAGACTACTACAATATCAACTATCAGAGATTTGAATAAGCAGATGTTCAAGATATGAAGATAGTGAAATACAATTCTCTAGCAAGTAATAATCTTTAATAACACTTTATATCATATAGAACTATAATACTAACTTTGAAACAGAACTTATATACATTGATTACAACTGAAAATCAGATAAAACTATAAACTTATAAAACTGAATTTAACTGCTATCTTTAAGATGATTCAATAAATTTATACATCAAATTAATTCTAGAGTTATAAAAAATTATTGAAAGTATATATTTAACTATTACACTGATAATGTACGATATTCTGACAATTTCATTGATAGAGATAAGAATGAAGTGAAAGTTTAACTTAAGTTGAGATATTTATTACTATCACTGAGAACAATTATAAGAAGAAATAATCAAGAAACTTATAATTGTAAAATATAAAATTATCAGACAGTTTAATACCTCTGATCACAGTATATAAGAGAAGTGTACTTTTTATGAGAAAGTAAAGAATAAACTTATACAAGAATGTATTTAGTTATTTCATAAATGTTATCAATAATTATTATCAAATTCTGATTATATAAGTAATCACTGAATAAACTGAATAAGACTGATTTTAATCTTCAGTCTTAGTCTCATTTTGATTTTGAAAGAATGATTATCTTTCACAGTTTATTCTGGAAAATTACTCTTATTTCACTGTTTTTGAATTAAATCTGGTCATTTTTCACATCATTTCTCTCAGAAATGATTCATTTTCAGATTTTTTTGAGACTTGGTTCTGATGAGACTCACGCCAAGAAATGTATGAGACCAGATCAAATGAGATCAAATGTGAAATTCATGATTTTACTAGTCAGTCTATTTAAGACTGTGTTCTCTTTTCTTTTGTCATGATATTGTCAAATGATTTCAAAGTATCAGAAGATGTTAAAATACTGTAATTTATAAACAGTTTTTATATTCTGAGC